GGCGGGGGGACGGACGGAGGGCGAGCAGGAGGGCGAGGGGAGGAGCGAGGGCGGAGCGCCCCGCGCGCGGCCGTTGCTGGCGGCCGTTAGCGGCCCTGAGCGCCCCGCTCAACCGCCAACGGAAGCGCCGCCCCGCGCCTTCCGGCCAGAGCCGCCGGCCGCCTGGTTTTGGTTGCGAAAGTTCCAGGTGTTTTCAGGAGTTGTGGGGAGCGCTGGAGCGTTTTGTTTCTCAGGGAGAATATGTGCACGGGCAGACTGTTGGGATGCCTTTAGATATTGCATAAGATACACTTAGAGTGGTTCTAGTGTGTGTCCACTACAACTGGAAGATGACCCCTGTAATCATCCCGTCCATGCTCTCCTAGTGCACATGGAGGAATACAACAGGATCTGTAGGTGATTTCTAATGCAGCCAGTGGAAAACCAGTGTTGCTTCATGGCATTAACAGCCTACTAAAAGAAAAATGACTGAGTCGATTGCAATTCATGTAGCTATGTAGCATGTTTCTTGAGGTCAGAAAGACTGTTCTTGTGGCAGAGCATTCATGAAGATCTGTACAAAAGCATACGACGTTTAGATAGTATTTTTCTCTTGTTTGGGCTAGCAACATATGAAGGCATGGGCTTGTGACTTCCCCGGGTAGCTGTCCAGACTACAACGAGAAAGACTTGAATCAATAATTTTGCCCGAGCATTGCAATTGCTGGCAAAGGCTCTGCAGAATGGCCTTAGGCAGCATATAAGTTACGGGAATTTCAGTTTTCAGAGGAAAAGGCAAGGGTTTTGACTTTTTATTTTGATCTTTCCTTTGAGAGAAAGACATCTGAATTTCAGTTTTGTCGTGGGTGTTTTTGTCAATAGGGGCTGCCATAACTCACAGTGAGTAAACACTTTCAGTCTATAGCTTCTTTTGCAGTTCAAAAGACTATTCAAAATCTGCTATCTTGTTGGATTGCATCTCTGCGTAGAGTCTAGGAGAAGAAATGTCTTGAAATAATGCTATTAACCACAATAATCCTAGAAATACAGATTGGAAGAAACCCCTAAAAACACATGCCATACTTTAGGGCACTGTCCCTCAGTGCTTGGAATGTGCTGCCTGTCCAAGAACAGGAAGTCCTCCTGGTGGCTGCTTCAGGAGGAGTTAAGTCTCTAAGGACAAACTGATAAATAAACCAGACTGTCCTTCGTTCTCCTATAAGTCTTTGAATGCTTTGCACACAACTGTCAGTGCTTCAAGTGGTCGGGGAGCCATGAGGGGTCAGTGCTTCCTTAGGGTCAGTGAGCCGAGCACCACTTAGCCAGCAAGGCAGGGCCCAGTGCTGCAGTACCCAAGCAAGGGGAAAAGGGGAGGCCCTGGCATGGAAGCCAGATTCAGCTAAGAGCCCAGATCATCAGTCAAGTTAATGGTCATCAGGATGGTCTGAGGTCGAGTTTAGGAAGTCAATCTGCAGATTAAGATCAGGCTCAGCAAAGATAACCACAATCAGACAGTGATCAGGTCCATAGGCGATTTACAGACAACATGGATCCATAGTCAAGCCAGGAGGTAAGTCTGCAGGCACAGCGAGACACCGGCGCTCACACAACATAGCTCAGATGGAGACTGAGGCCTAACTTAAATCACAGAATCATAGAGACTTCTGGGCCCATGGGTGGGGGTGGAAGCTCTAGGTGAGGATGATGGGGCCATAAAGTGCCATCAAGGCCCTTACACCAGGCAAGGGAAAATCTGTAAAGTTTAGTAACCTTTTAAAGCTTCCTAATAAGAGTTAATTCTCTGAATGAGGCTCACTTGAAAGAACCTCATGCCAACGGATACAGTACTTGCTTTAATCTTGTAACACATCACTATCACACACATAGAATCGCAGAATCACAGAATGGTTGAGGTTGGAAGGAACCTCTGGACATCATCTAGTCCAAACCCCTGCTCCAGCAGGGACACATAGGGCACGTGGCACAGGGTGGCATCCAGGCAGGTTTGGAAGATTTCCAGAGAAGGAGACTC